CACCTGTCCCAGGGCTCCTCTCTCACACACACACACTTGTGCAGCTCAGGCTGAGGCACTTTGGAGAATTCAAAGCAAACATTTACATTCCAAGGCTCCTCTATATTTATGCTGGGCTTCCAGCTCCACTGTCAATATTTGGGAAGCTACTCTTGGTCAATTCCTGTTGACTTTTACTGAAAAGCAGCTAGCGAGGCAGTAAATATTTTGTGCATGTGATAATACAGCTGGTCAGGGCAGAGGAGTCTCTGAGGAACAGATCTTGTGATTTGGGGCACAGCCTGGTGTTTCATTGCTTGTTAGCTACAGGGTCCTAAAAGACTGCTCTTTCCTGTGTCAGGCTCCCAAGAAAGGCAGATTTTTGCCAGGGAAGAGCTGTCAGGGGTGTGCTAGGCAAACCACAGCTAGGAAGTGAGAGCTGCAGCACAGCCAGGCTGGACAGGGAGCCCTGGGAACAGTCGCAGCTCCTGGGCTCTGCTGGGAGAAGCATTCCCAGGAGTGAGGGACTGGGAGGAGCTGTGCCTTTTGGGGTTGTCACATCCCTGCCAGCCTGGATGGGAAAGAATTGCAGGTCCAGCACAAATCCCTCTGCAGTGGTGGCTGGAGATGGGTGTAGCTTTCCCAGGAACTCCAGGCTCCACAAGGGTGGAACCAGGAGCCTGTGGTGAACTTCAGGGAATTAGACTGTGTACTAAGCAGAGCAAAGAAGAAATGCTGAATGATGCTGTGTTGTCCCTGTGCTTGTCCCTGGGCTGGTAACCCAGGGGGAGCTCTGTGCCCACTGATGGGTGTTGTTTTGTTGCCCTGTGCCCTGCAGTGAGAACCCTCTGCCCACCGTGGAGATCGCGATTCGCAACACGGGGGACGCTGACCAGTGGTGCCCTCTCCTGGAAACCCTCACAGACGCTGAGATGGAGAAGAAGATCAGAGACCAGGACAGGAACACAAGGTACTGCCACTGCTTTGGACACTTCTCTTGGCCTGTCCCTTGGACAGAAGCTCCAAGCTGGGATGTTTGTCTTTCCCTACTGAGAGCTAACTGGCAGGATGTCAGCCTTGCTCGCAACAGAAGCTTTAGCTTCAGGGTATTCAGCTGTCATCACCTTCCTCCACAAACATTGAAATGTCTGCTCTACCATCTCCTGCTTGAAGGAAGTTTCCTTTTTTTTTAACCTATTTTTTCTTTTCCTTGGGCTCTTTGCTTGTCCAGGGGAGTTGTTTGTATAGGAAGGCATGAATCGAACATATTGGAGTTTCATGCACTGTCATGCTCCCAAGAATCCTGCCACAAAGCTTCCTTTTATGTAGTGTAAAGTTCAATTTGATGTAGCAATGGGCAAGCTCCCAGCTCTAGCCTGAGTGATGCCAGCCTGTTTGCCAGCACAGGGAGCACTGTGTGAATCCAGGAGAAGCTCTGCTCACCTGCAAAGTGATGTTTGACAAGCAGTTGAGAGCTTGCACCTACTTGATGAAATTCTTCCTGGCAGATATGAAGGAATGGCTTGTATCTCTCCAAAAGATACATTGTGGAAACAGTAAATATACTGGCTCAGCTCTTTCCCAGGATGTTTTTTTAACTGCTGATTAACAGTAGCACAGTCATTTTGTGTATCAGCTGTGGGTGACTGAAGAGTTTACAGTAGCAGTCAGTTCAATCCAAGTTAATGAGAAAAGTGCCCTAGCAGCTGTTAGTGAAAATAGTGTCCTTGCCTTATCACTGGGGCACTCTCAGGTGACTGGGGAGTTCTGTCTGGGAATAAGCCTGTCTAGAAAGCTGTGCAGCCTCCCCAGAAGCACTGGTTTTGGTCAGGCTGCCATGTGTGTAACATGCACTCACTGTACCTCTCTCTCTCCCTCAGGCGCATGAGACGTTTGGCCAATACTGCTCCAGCCTGGTAACCCTCCTGTTGTGACACTGGTGCTCTTCCTACAGACTTTAGCCCTATTCCTCTCCCCAGATGGATCTAGAATTGGCAGGGGTCTTTCTGTCTCTGAAGGGGACACACATTCCACTTGCCACGAGTTCCCAGTACTGCTGACTTCTGCCCCCTCCACCCCAGTGCCACGTCCCGAGAGCGCTGAGCGAGCAGCGCCACCCAGCTGGGACCTGTGGCTGGTGTTGGAGCCCTTCTATACCTGTGTGTGGACAGTGGGAAGATTCTTTTGTATAGGTGCAATGTGCACTCCTAGGACAACTTTTTAAATAAAAGGAATGCATACAATGTAGGCTGAGTTCAGTCAGTTTGCATGGACAGTGAATGTTACCATGTTGTGTGCTGGTAACTGAGGGTGACATATTAATTCTGAACACTCACATGCATTCGCTTTTCCTGGGTGCTTTACTTCAACAGGTACAACAGCACAAAACCTTTTGGTGCAGGGGAGAGTGAGGAGGAGATTTAGAAATAGCAGCAGCAAACAATTCTCTAAGGATTGGTCTGTTACCAGGCTTGGCACAGTCTGTAATGACCTCGGGGAGGTGTTCAGCTGGTTTACTCAACAAGGTAAAATAGTTTAACTGATATCACAGACTCGAGAGTCATTTCTGTCAGATGTCAGCCTGGTGTGTGGTCAGCCCTGTTTTTTGTGAAGGAAGACTGGAAACAGCACAGGCTCTGCACTGGTACAGCAGGTAAAGCCTCCAGTCACTGGGACTGAAACTCCTCTGCAGCACAAACACTGCCAGGTGCACTGCACAGAGCACTCAAAGCAAAGTGGGTGTCATGAATGCCCTTAGCACTGCAGTGTCAGGACTTTGCAACCCAAGAAACAAGCTGTCTTTCTCTAGGGAGTTTAAAAACAAAATCCATTGAAGTAAGATTTAAAGAAAAATCCAAGCTTGCTTACAAACTAATTAGAATCTGTCTTGCTGTTGAGGTACCCCATCTCTTTGATAGAGTTCCTAGCATTCACTGCCAGAACTGATGAGTCTTGCAAGCAAGGCAGATTTTGCTGGCAGCCTGACAGTCATGTTCAAGCCTTTATGATAAAGCCATAGGTTTTATGATCCTTGCTGATCCACCCACCCTGCTAGCACAGTCAAAAAACACTTTCTGGTCTTAATTTATCTTGTTTAGACTTGAGTAATAACAGAGTTCTGATTCCTGGGTGGGAGGGAACTTTTTCCAGATGTTAGTCTGCAGAAACTGAAAACTTGCAATTTAGTAATCATATTATTCAGTCTTATCCTAGGCTCCTGTGCCAGAGTGGTACTCCATGCATGACTTCATATTAGAGAGGTTGAAAGGTGATTTGAGCAAGGAAGAAAAACCCTGGCTGGGATTGCTGCTGCATCTTAGCCTCCCATGTAAAACATGTTTTGGCTCATGGACATAAAAACTCAGAGCCTTCTTGAGAACACTTGAGCCTTCCTTTGTTACATGACTGGGGACTGTTGCCAGCAGCCTCTTCAGGGAATTGGACTAAAATATGTGTGAAACTGCTGTAAATTAGCAGTTCAAATCCGTGCTGCAGTTTTTTAATTGCTGTGAAGTTTGTGATTACTAATCCCCAAGTTCACAATGAGGTGCAGGCACACAAGGATTGCAGCACCTCTCTGCTTCTCAAGGCCAGAGAGGTTGTACAGATTGTTCCTTGAAGCAGCAGGGACACAGCAGGACAGTCAAGGGACCAAGGCCAGCAAGATGGGAACTTCAGCCAGTTTTCTTTGTGTAGCACTAGGACTACTGGGGACCAGCCAGGAGCAGCTTTCTTGCTCTGCAATCACAATTCCTTGGGTTAGTCTGGTACCCCACCTAAAGGAATAGCCCAACTGTTACATTTCAAAGCCCCATCTCAGGCAATTTAAACCAGAACATCTGAAGACTTCAAAGACAAACTCCTAGGGACTGAAACTCTTTCTAGGGACTGAAACCCCAGGTCTGTTATCATTACCCTTAGTGCCCCTGTATCTTTAGAACAAATTACCACCTGTACAGGTCTCTCAGCCTCTTAGAGAGGGAAGGATAAGTACAGCAAGAGCGTGTTCAAATCAGGTCTGATTTTTGATGAAGTGTTTTATTGGAAGAGCACAGGGCAGGGGGAGTTGGTGTGCGTGGGGGTTTGTGAGTGTGCTCAATCAGATGCTGGTTACTCCCATTTCATGGTTTGGTGGTGGTTTGCAGCTCTGAGCAGCCAGCACGGAGAGGAGTGAGCTGCTGTAGGATACCATGTGTGCAGACTCCTTTGAGGCTGGGTACAAGCACAGGGGGTACTGTGCTAGCAAGAGTGATCAGATCCATTTCATACAGGTGGCAGGGTAGGGATGAGCTTTTCTCATTTTCCCCTGAAACTCAGATGTTTAAGTTTCAGAACTAAAAAATTCAACAACAGTGGAATTATACTGCAGGTGCAGACAGTTTTTATTGCCAGTGTCAAGTGCTGCTTCCAGCCACTGCCTGGATCAAGTGTCCAGCTCAATCCCTTGTCCTTTCCCAGGCACCCCTTTATCCAATTAGACATCCCCCACACTCCTCATGCTCTGCAGCCCTGCTGAGAGAAGAGGGAAAGGACATCTTCCAGCCTTGCCCACCAGAAAAGAAAATCCCAAACCTGGCAGTTATGAGCAAATTCCTGATGAATTGCTGCCTCTGCCCCTGGCAGAAATGGACACACAAGTGAAAAATAAAGACTTTAATGTAAAGACTCTTTGGAAACAACCACCAGAAAAGGAGTGGGGGACATAAAGGAAAGAAAGAGGCTGAGCTGCATTCTACCATGGTACAGAACTACTTCATTGAAAGCCCACAAAGAGGTCTCACAGCAGTGAGGGCCAGGTGCACCTTTGTACAGAGGGCAAGAGTGACCTAGCACACAGCAAGTCATTGAGAGCAGAAGGAAGAACTGGTTTAACACCCAATTGATAGTTATTCCACACCAGGGAACTGAGGAGCCAGCACAGCTTCAGCCCTGGCCCTAGAACACCTCTGTAAGCATTCAGGAGTTCTTGTGTGCAAAGCTCCACTTTGTACAGGGGGAGGATGGGTTACCCACACAAACACACGACACATCGGAATGGCAACTCTGTTTTTCCAGAAGGATCTCTGGGCCCCAGCCAAAGTCCAGCCAGCAGGGAGGAGTCTGGCCACATGAAGAAGTCCCCCATGCTACTGTGGATGCTGCTGCTCGTGCTGGTCTCTAGGCTGGTGTTCTGGGCGATCCTCAGGGAGAGGGTTGTAATTGGGATCCTCTTCAGGTGTGTCAAAAACCATCTTCCTGGCAAGGGACATGCCATCCAGCAGGCAGGTTAGGAGACTCAGCTGAGGCTGCCAAACCCCCAGCCCTCCTAGGAACACCCTGGCCCTCTGTGGGGCTTGGCTGTCAGCCACAGCCACCAGCCCATTGCACCATCACCAACCATTCTTTTGCTCAGCTCAACACACAGTGATGGCAGTGCCTCCTTCCTGATCACCAGGTCAGAGCTGATTGTCACAAAGCAGAACAAATTCTGCTTTCTTAAACTATGAAAATACAGCAAAAAAAGTCCTGCCTCCATCCAGCATTTCCACAAGCAGTAAGCAGACTCTAGTTCTACTAGTAAGCTGAAGGTAGCAGCTGCTGCTGCATGGGCCCTGTACAGGTGTATATAATGTGCAAATAATGCAGCAATCCATGACCTGTGTATTGCAGTGTGATGGTATTTAACTCCAATACCTGTGGAGCTGAGGTGCTGGCAGCAGGCAGTTGCCTCTTATGGTCACAGTTTGCTCTGGAAGTGATCAGGTTGGGAAAGCCCACAGTAAAGGCCACAAAGAATCAACTTTACTTACAGAAAGCTCGGGGTTAACAGCAGCTTCTTTCCTCCAGGCTGATTGGGGAAAACATCTTCCAAGAAATAATAGATATGACCCACTGCAATGCCTGGGGAGAGATGCCACCAAGGTCAGGCAAAACAGCAACTCCTTTGCCAGCTGAACCAGAGCTGCTGGGCTAAGAATCCCCCAGCTGTGCCCAAACCCAGCTCCCTCCAGAGCCAGGGATGCTGCAGGCTGCTGTGATCAGCAGGCAGGGAGCCCATGAGCCTGAGGGCAGCATCACTCACCCAGGAGACCACACACAGCAGTGTCAGAGCTCACCATACCCAGCTTCTACCACCACAGACACACACAGCAAAAAGCAGGTCACAAGCAAAAGCCCAGCCCTCCAGAAACCCAGGCAGCTCACTTAGGAAACCCAACATCTCAGCTCAGCTGGAACCAAGAGGAGGTGCCAGCGTCCCAGCAGCACCAATGAGGACTGACCACTGAGGCTGCAAGGTGGCCTTGTTGGCATCCCCCAGCAGCTCTGACTCACCCAGCAGATCAATGATGATGGAGTTGCCCAGGAGCAGAGAGAACCCCATCAGGACCCAGGGCAGGAAGGGGGCTTGGAAGTTGAGAAGGCCAAAGAAGTTCATGCGGATGTAGGGGTTCCTGCGGCTCCACACGTACACCAGCATGATGGTGAAAGCCTGGCCCAGGAAAAACAGGCTGGCAAAGAGTCCAAACAGCTGGGAACTACCGAGTCAAGGAAAAACCTCCCCACCCTGTGCACACCTCCAGGCAGCACAGTGTGCTTTGGGACAGGAAACCCAAACCAGAGACAGCTGCTCAGCATTCCCAGACATTGCTCATGTCACCAAACCTTTCCTGGCTGAGATTTACTGACCACCACTGTCCCCACACATCTCCCTCCATGCCACCCCAGAACAAGTTCACATGCACACTGCTCACTCCTTAATCTGATGTCTACAACCACCAGAGACCAGAGAGCTCTATAGTCCCCTTTGCAAAATGAACATCAAAATGACATTCAAAGAAGGGCTTTCACATTCCTACAGCACTTGGGACAGTGGCATATCTCAACAGCTAGCTCACATCCAGTATCTGCCTTCTACAGAAGAAGTTCAGCAGTGAGATTGTTCTTGGAATTCACATTCCTCTTCTTCAGAGCACAAGGAGACAGAGAAAGGCAAAAATTTCCTCTGCCCTTGTTGTAGTTGGACTCCAAATCCACATCTGGCCAAGCACGTGGCTGCTGCAGCCACCTGGATTCTCACAGAGCTTCGTGCAGAGCTCTGTGGGGACAGCAGGGCTCTGAGCCATCTGCATAAGACAGCAGAAGATATTCAGAGAAGGTTTGTGCTTGGGAGGGAAATAAATTTCACCATCAGATTACTGTGTTGTGAAAAGAACTTGTGTGATGGTACTCCATTTACTGGCAGGCTGCAAGCTCTGGGCTCACATGTGCTGAGTATGTGGGACCCCACTCCTTGTCCTCAGGGCTCCACGTTCCTGCCCCTGTCCTGAGCCAGCCTCACGCAGTCCCAGCCATGCTGCACTCCCCAGAGCTCAGTCAGTGGCCCTGGCACAGCTGGACAGTCCTTGCAGCAGAACACGTGGCTGCCTCTCAGGCTGAGCTCTGCCACGTGTCCCTCAGGGATGAGGCAGCCCAGCCCCTGCCAGGGGCTCCAGCACAACCTCAGGCAGCTTCCTCTCCTCCAGGCACACTGGCCAAGCCAAGGGTGGCAAAGATAAGGAGCACAAGCTGTGCCATGGAGCCAGAAGTGTCCCTGCAGCACCTGCTCAGCAGAGCTCTCCCAGCTCTCAGAGCACAAGGCCCTCTGCCCTGGGGCACCAGGAAGGTTCATGAAGCAGCTGTGCTGCTCAGCAGGTATTTGTGAAAGCAATACTGGTAATGCCTAAGATGTGTGTGTACACACTGAACAGAGCATTTGCCACTTGAAATTCATCCAGTCACTGATCAGAAAACTCTGCTCGTATGTACTTGTAAAGGCTGTGTGTGCCTGAGAACTGCTTGTGCTGCTGTAAAAATTGATAGCAATGATGTTATTTTGTCTAGCAGAAATCATTCTAATTTTTGTATTTGTAATTTTGTTAAGATTATCAAGTGTGATTTTTCATACTGGGCCCCAGTGACATCCCACCAGTTGATTAAAACCAATGACACAATGTGTCACAGACTGTCACCTACTCCTACTGGGATAGACCTTACATTGGTAGAACAATTAATTAAGCACCAAGACCACAGCACACCTGACACAGAGGTAGCAGACAAGCCCTACACTATCCACAGCATGTCAGAGACACCAAGGAGCCTCATCCAGCCCAAAAGGATACTGTCATGAGAAACCCTCCAAAGAGGAACATGAAGACAAAGTCAGCCGTCCTTCCTCGGAAGGAGCCTTCTTCCAGCATGCGGCAGTACCTGTACCTGAGGGCAGGAGAGAAGGGAGGGTTGCAGTATAGGAAATTAACAGCTGGCCACCCTGTGCCCACGGCAGGACTGCCCAGGAACTGCTGCAAGCTCAGCCCAGAGCAGAACAGTGCACACTGCACCCCACTGACAGAGAGAGGCACCTGCTGTGCTTCAGCAGAGCTCACCCCAGGAATGGGCACTGCTCTCCAGCAAGAGCCACAGCAGCAGCACTGCCAGTTTCCCTTTGCCCTGCAGCAAGCACAGGTGGAGGGGCAGGAGGGGCTTCAATTCAAAAGAGCCAAGGGAAGAACCTACAGCCCCAGAGTGCTGCCAAGGCAAGCCATGCTAGGGAGGAAGATGGATGGGGGGAGCTGCATCTAAGCCAAAATGGGAGCAGAGAACTTCACTGAGACCAAAGGATACAGAAATATCATGTTGAAAAAGAAACTGAATCCCAGGGGCCCAAAAAAGAGGAAGTTGGTGATCAGCCTCCATATCTGAAAGAGAAGAGAGAGGAGAGAGAAAAGGAGGTGGACAGAGGTCTCTCCTCACCACACAGAGCAGCCCATCACACTGCCCACAGGGAATGAATGCTCAGACATGCACCTGTCCCTCAGAACTGCCCCAGGACACCAGACAGCTGCTCCACCCTCCAGTGGGACCTCCTCACATGGTACCCTGGTACATCAGTGTCTCACCTTTCCAGGCATGGAAAAGAAGATTTCTCTACTTTTCTAGAGAGGTCAAACAGCCACAATTCAGCACTCAGAGCCAAATTAATTACTTTTCATGCCTCTCTACAATAAAGCCCTCTCCAACCAGCCCAACAGCACACGCTGTAACAGAGGGGGAAGAGATAGGGTTTGAGCCAAGGGAAAGCCAAGGTGGTGTGTGGCAGGGAAGGGCTGGAAGGAGCTGTCCCCACGCAGGTGCCCGTGACAGGAGGGGACGCTGTGTGGCTGGCCCGGCCCGCAGCGCTCGGGGAAGGCCGGGGCAGGGGGACAGGAGCCCCGGGGATGACACAGCAGTGCCCGGCCCCCCTGCGAGCGGGACACCCGGGCCCCCGCGGGCACAGCCACAGCGGGCCCACAGCCCGAGCGAGGCCTCACCTGGAACTTCCTGAAGATGAGGTCGGGGTTGAAGTACAGCTGGAAGGGGGTGATGAACTCCAGCTGCTGTGGGAGACAGGCAGAGCAGCTGCCATCACCCGCTGCCCTCGGCCAGCCCCGGCCCCCGCCCCGCGGCCCCCCGCCCCCCGGCGCGGCCCCCGCTCACCACGGCGGCGGTGGTGAGCACGCAGGCGGTGGTGTAGGCGCGGGTCACGGCCGGCATGCCCAGGTACTCCTGCGCGAAGCCCTGGTACGCCATGGCCGCGCCGCTCCGCCCGCCCGACGCGGCGCCTTTAACGCCCCCCCGCCGCGCCGCCGCACGCCCCGCCCCCGCGGGGAGCGCCCGGCCAATCCCCGCGCGACAGGCGGCGCGCGTCAGCCAATGGGAGCGCGCCTCATGGCCCCGGCCCGCGGCCGCCGCCAACCCGGAGCGGCCCCGCCCCGCGGCAGGGCAGCGCCGGGAGCAGGCGGGGCACGGGCAGGGAGAGGGCGGGGCGCGGGCGGGGCGCGGACGGCTGAGGGGCGGGGCACCCGGGTTTAGGCTGCACGCAGGGCGCGGGGTTGTGCGCCGGGTCCTGCGACAGTGACACTGACCTGCCCGGCTAGGGAAGGGTCCGCGCGGTTCCTGCCGCGGCGCGCTCAGCGGCGGCCCCGCAGTGTCCCCGAGAGTCGGGGGCTCTCAGTGCGGTGTTCCCCTGCTGGGAGAAGGGCGGCGGTGCCGCTGCCTCAGCCGGGCTGTGTTGCCGCTTGCTTGGGTCTCGTGTTCGCTAAGACACGAAGGGCTTGGGGTTTCAGTAATTCCTGCTGGAACTTCTCCTGCAGTGAGAGCATGCTCCTGATGGAGCAGTGAGGCGCTTCCCCAAACTGTGCGAGATCGCTGGAAGAAACCAAGAGATGTTTGGATTTTTGGATGTGTGGTGCCACCGGGTGCTGAGGGGACCCGGGGAACAGCAGCAGCGCTGCAGTCAGCCCTCAGGAGGAGCAGAGCTTGTGCTGGGCCCTCAGGAGGAGCAGGGTTCGTCTCAGCCCTTGGGAGGAGCAGAGGCTGTGCTCAGCCCTCAGGAGGAGCAGAGCCTGTGCTGGGCCCTCCTCAGGAGGAGCAGAACCTGGGCCCTCAGGAGGAGCAGGGTCTGTTCTCAGCCCTCAGGAGAAAGCAGATCCTGTCTCTGCCCGTGTGTCCCACACAGACAGCACTCCCGAGAACCAGAGCTGATACACATCTCCAGGAACCCGGCATCCTTCACTCTCCCTCTGATTGTGCTTCCCAGAGCAGTCTGCCCTGTGCAGCACTCAGGTCTAATGTTACAGCAACCCTGGATTCAGATGAGGAACAGGCCTGGTGTTGGGTTTGTGCTGCAGAGGGTTAAGCTGTCATCAGAGCCTTAATGAGCCCTGAGATTTCCCTTTAAACCTTCCATTAATGGGAAATGAAATTACCGAGGGGGAAGGGAGTCTTTGTGTCCTCCACCACCTCCATCCTGAGTGCCCTTTGATGAAATACAAAACCCAGATGGAAGATGATGGGACATGAGGTTAAAGCAACATAATGGGGGAGAGAGGGAAGAAGACAAGAGACTGGGGGGGGTCTGTCAGAACAGAGAATGGGCTCCTGAGTGCCCTGGAGTGCTGCAGTGCTGGGAGCACCTCTGATGGGGCTGGGGGAGAAGGAGGAGCTGCTGGGAATGGAGCTGAGTGAGGAATTTGCACCCCAAACTGCAGCAATGTCAATAATTTTGGCTGTGTGGGCACAGGTTTTGGTGAGAGCTGGGATGGATGTGAGAGCTCTGGCTGTTGAGAAGAGCTGAGCTTGCAGGGAAATTCACTGGGCCAGGAGCTCTGCAAAGGGCTGCCCTTATTCATGGGGCTGTTTCAGCCCAAATGCTGCTCTGCTGCAGCTCAGCCCCCCAGCATGCCACAGAGCTCCCAACCCAGCAGAATGGGCAACTGAGTTGAAGAACTGAGAGTCAATAAATGGATAATGAAATAAATGAATAAATATCCTGTTCCTTTGGGTGGGGAATTAGAGGTTTCCTATCTGCTCTTGCTGCTGGTGGACACCAGACAGAAGGTGAATTCAAGCACCATGATTCCTGCCCCTTCCTTTTTTGAACCAAGGCTGGGAGGTGAATATTGGGAGCCTCTCTGCTGCAAGGAGCCCTTACTAGCTCCACAGAGATGTGAATCCAAATAATCAATCCCACTCACTCTCTGTGAAAGACTGCAAATTAGACATTGCATAAAATCTAAAAAAAATCAATAATCAGTTTCTCAATTTTTTTCTCTTCCCTTCTAGCCAAAACTGGAGAACTCCACTTGCCCAGGCTTCTACTTAAGGCCTGTTTTCTAAGGTTTATGAGGGAAGGGAAATGAAATGCATGGGGAAGCTCAGCAGCTCCCACTGGGAGAGGCCAAACAAATCCCAGTGTCACCCTGAGTTCCCAGGCTGCTTTCTGCCCATGATCGCAGTCCCTGGGGAGCTCAGCCAAGCTGACTTCATGCACTGCAGTACACCCAGGGCAGCTTTAGTCTTCATTACAATCTGTGTCACATTTTATGGGTTTTTGGAGTTATGGCCTTCCACAAGTTCCCATCAGCACAGGCACATATTTGGGTTCACCCACACACCTCCCCCTTCACAGTGATGCTGACATGTGGCCTTTATAAAATCATGAACTCTAAAAACTGAAAAAAAACCCCAAAGCCAAAGTCTTTGTCTCAGCTGCAAGAAGGTAAGGGGGACTGCCAGAAAAACACTGCCCAGGAGATTTTTCACTGATTTCCTCCTGCCTTGTCCTGCCCTGCCTGGGGACTCCAAGCAGATGCAGCACAGTGATGTGCCATTGCCTCCTGCCATCTGCTGGGCTCCCCTTCCTTCTGGGATCAGCTTTATATTGCTGTCAGTGTGCAGCATCAGCTTCAAAACCCAAGATGCCAGAAACTCAAAGTTTCCACACAAATATGTGTGATGCCCAGACTTCAGTCCATTTTGGACAGGCTTTGAAACAGGTTTTTGTCTGCATGCTCTTGGAGCAGCCAGAGAACCTAAGGAAGGACTCCCAGCTGAAACCTTTGCACAAGTCCTTCAAAGGAAGAACTGAACATGGTGGTGTCTCCTTGCCAGACAATATTTACCCATTGTGCATCTGCAGGCCCAGTGATAGTAACCTGCAGCATAAATTCAACAGCTTCCCATCTCAGTTTCTGCAGAGTTAGAAAACAGAGAAAAATGCTATTAACTCTTCCCATGAGTTAAACAGCACATAAACCTCAAGAAGGCACATGAGCAAAGATAAATGGGCTGTTGCAGCGGTCATCTCTTTTGTTTGTAGTAAATTATTGTGTGTAATTCATGTTTCCTGTCCATAAATACCAGAGGAACTTGAAGACATGGAATCCATTCTAATTCAGTAAAGACAAAAACAACTCCTTTTGAGCCCATCTGGAACTTGTTTTTAACATAATTGTTTTGGGCTCAGTAACGAGCTCAAGATCTGACTGCCGTCTCTAATTGTTTCAAGGATAAACAGCTGCTTTGTTTAAAGGCAGCAGCTCCCATTTTGCCCAGCGCAGCAGTGCCGGGCTCGCAGGATGAAAGGAGCTGTGCCGTGTCAGCACAGGCCCTAACGAGCACTGGCGCCCCTGGCAGGGCGCTCACCCCGCCCGCAGCTGATGGGGCAGGAAAACAGCCCCAGGCACGCACTTGTGAGTGTCCAGCCCTGCCCGTGCCCTCTGCTCTTCCACGGCATTGGCATTTCGTTTGTAACTTCATCTGATGGTGTTTTGTAATGTGTCCTGCTGTGACGAGTCATGGCCTGGTGACGCTCAGGCATCTCCTGCAGCTGGGCTGTGGGGTGCTCAGGGACAGCGTTCACTCCCTGGTCACATTAACCCGAGCTCCTTGCTTGGGTAATGCTCCATCCCCTGCTCACAGTCCCAAATCTTCATCTGAAAGCAGAGACACCCCCACACCCACTGTGAGAGACTCTCCCTACCAGGGTAAGAGACCATGGTGTGTTGTCGCAGACATCTTTTATAAAACATCCTTTCTTTAAGGTTTTTTCCTCCTGAGAAGCTGAGAGGCCTCAGGAACAAAATGTGAACAATGATTATCTGCTGCTGTGGAATGCAACAGGTAGATCTGTGATTAGTCTTATGTGCTTGTTTGTAATTAATGGCCAATCACAGTCAGCTGGCTCGGAGAGAGAGTCCGAGACACAAACCTTTGTTATTATTCTTTTCCTTTCTATTCTTAGCCAGCCTTCTGATGAAACCCTTTCTTCTATTCTTTTAGTATAGTTTTAATGTAATATATATCATAAAATAATAAATCAAGCCTTCTGAACCATGGAGTCACATCCTCGCCTCTTCCCTCAACCTGAGACCCCTGTGAACACTGTCAGTGTCTCAGACCTGTTTTGCTCAAGGTCTCACCCACGATGCCCTCAGGATGTGAGACCCTGGTAGTGTTGGTATAGAAGAGATCTCTACATGCCTGATGCCCTGGCACCAGGAACAAGTGGGGCACACCAGCCAGGACCTTTCTGGGAGGTAATTCCAGCCCCCAAACTCAGTCCTTGGTGGCAGGGACAAGAGGGGCCAAGAGCTCCATGAACTTGCTGTGCATAGATAAGCTGTGTAATCATAACTGTTGAGGCACTTGAAATGTTTACTTTTCCATGTGTAATAGCCATATATAATTTTTTTCTCCTTCATTAAAGGATTTCTGGTTCCAAATCAGCTAACTCTGGAGTGTGATGGCTAAAGTCAGGAGAAAGTGAATCATACAGAATTGGATGGATTTTTAAGTTTGTTTGTTTGTTAGAAAGAAACTAAAGATAGCACTTAGAGTTCAGCCCTCCAAGGACACGTGGTTTGCACAGCTTTTGCTGTAAATCACAGTTAATATTATTTTTATTTCCTATGGTTTTTAGTTCAAAAATACAGCTTTGTGTCTGGCATGAGAAAGATCTCATTTAAATCCCCTTGAGCAGAGCCTCATCACATATCCAAATAAAGCACCTCTTCCAAAACAGCTTCTGATCATGAGTTGAAGACATCAAACAAGAAAATGTCTGTCTCTTTTCACAGTTATTTTTCTCCAGTGTTTAATAATTCTTGTTAAATTCTTCTGCCTTGTGATCTGTCCCCTACACCACAGGTCACCTCCCACAGCTGTCAGTAGGGAATATCCTTCAGGGGCCTTTATTTTGTAACTCCATTGCATAAGCACTGTGGCCAAACGAACAAATCCAAAAAATAATGCTTGTGTCTTATAAAAAGAGGTCTGTGCTCAGCTCACAATAGCAGCACAACTGAGTGTGCTGTCAGCTGCTGGAGACCCCTGCAAGGAGTCAGAAAAGGTATTTGTGCTTGGGTTTTCACCAGAGGCAGGACTGTGTCCCAGTCTCAATGAGCCAGGGCACAGCTCTGATGAAAAGCTCTGTCTGAAGGGACAGTTAAATGAGAGAGCAGGATGAGTCTGGCACTGTGACACTGCTGCACACATTTTCCTCTCTTCTGATGGGAACATTCAGCAGCATTTGGTGCCTTTTGGTAGAGTCTGAATGCTCTTCTCTGACTCACAGGAGCAGAGGTTTTGTTCAGGCAAGGACTTTGTTCCTTCTGGCCTTGAGGTGGCTCAATTTCAGCTGCCTGTACCAGTGTCTGATACAGAGGTGGAAGGAAAATAAATAGTTCAGGCACAGCCAGACCTACAGCTCACAATGGACTGAAAAAAAAGGTATTTTCATTATTTCTAGTATTTAGGGTTTTCTCAGTTTTCCCAGAGAAGACCTAGCGCTTATCAGATGGAGGAACAGGCAGACTGCTGATCCAACACACACAACATACAGCTGTTGTGACATCCCAAAATCCCAGCTAGCAAAGAAAGCAGCACGTTCCCTTGGCTGTCTCAGCCCTCATGTCCTCAAAGGACTCAGCTCCCATGGATCCCCACTGCCCTGGAAAGGGTCCCAGTGACTCTGTGCGGTAGCAGAAGCTCTGGCAGCACTGGGTCCCTGCCCTGAGAAACCTCTGTGATGAAGCTCATTTTCTGAAGTTCTTATACAGTGCCTTGAACTTACATAAATTGTGGAGTTTTTATAAAAAAACATTAGTGAACAGCTGGAACTGAGAATAGTGGTGTCACAGCAGGGCACTCATTTCCTAAGAAAAATCCATTTCAACAACTAAATAAACACAAACATTGCTTTCACCATGAAATCAGCAAACCTGCTGCATGTTTCTTGAGAAAGCTGCTTGTTTGCAGATCTTATTACTTGTCTTTGTATTCTGAGTGAGTTCTGCAAGAGTCAGGACAAGCAAACAGAGGCATTTTGTATCTTACAGTGGTGGTCCTTACAGGAAAGTGAGAAGGGATTGCAGAAATAGCCAGGCTACAGCTTGGGAAAGTCAGCAACCAGCCAGGGAGCCACTCCAGATCTCTTCTGCAATTTACAAGGTAGCGTTTGTAGGGAGAATTCATCCTGTAGATCCAAGCCTCACAGTTGGAGATGAGGCCCCTTTTCTCCCCTTGAAGTTGGTCCAGATGATTCTGGTGTAAAACACACTCGAACATTGGAACCCCTCAGTTCGTGACAGATCAAAGAGCACGTGTTGATGGCCCTTCCTAATGGCAGGATTAGCACTTACTGCTGCAGCCAGATAACTGCAGGCAGACCCTGCCATCACATCCTCCACACAGCTCCTCTCCCATGCACATGGCATCATATTTCACCCTGGTTATGACAGGTTTGAGTTCAGTGAGAGAGGATTTGAAGGAAGAGGGTGGTGGGTCCCCCAGTACTGCTGGAGAGCTGCCGGGTTTATGTGAAGGCTTCCAGGAGTTTGAGTAACTGCAGAGCAGTGGCTGTGCCCTGGTGACAGCCCCTGACCCCAGAGATTCCTCATCTACAACTGTGACTCTGAAGCTCTGACAACAAGAATGGAACATTGGGAAAGCTGGGGGTTTTAAAGTGCAGCAAAAAGCCAGTTAAAAACACAAGCAGTGTGAACATCCCTCAGCACCAAAGCACGAGTAACACAGATGCTGTGCAGATGAGAAAAATCTATTCCTTCACTCCTCATCGAGGCAGCTGTTGCTAGAAAAGATAGAGGACAACTTCCTGGAGCTGCACATGGGTCTCATCACAGAACATCCAGTTTATGCCCCCTGGAACAGGGAGGGACAGCCTGTGCCACCATCCCCAGCACCCACTGCCCACCCACAGCACTTCCCTCACCTCTGGCAGCTGGCACAAGCTCAGAGCAGACAGCAGGAGGGAAGGAGAGCTTTCCTTTTTGAATGAATTATTGTTCTTGATATAGCTGCCTAAACTCTCCATCAGTTCCTGCTGAGTGGTGCAGTCATGTTTGTTTCCCAGTTTTTGTTTGGGAAGCTGCTGGAAGCATCCATCCAACCCCGGCCACACGCAGCACAGTGCTGGCATGCTGCATTCAGAGCCTAACACATCAAATTTTGTACTTCTCCTGCCACTTAGTGGCTGCACCTGATGCAGCACCACATCCCTGTGATGTGGAACAGGCTCATATTTCTGTTCAGGTGCAGTAAAACCTGAATAGGGACAAAGAGGAATTTAAAAACATTTCAATTATTTCAAACTCTCTGAAACCTGTCAGGGCCCTCACAAATCTCACTTTGCCAGATGAAAGGATGTTAGAAGGATGATTACTCCTGAAGACCAGATATTTTGTGAAGCAGCAGCTTTAATGTTGCTGCTGGCAGTGCAATGTGCCTCCATCTCCATCTCTAGGATTCAGAAGGATTCACCATTTCCCACTATTGAATGCAGAGCACCCCCAAGGTCTGGGAATGATTGGTATCTGATTCTATTGATTCAGAAGGCTGAACAATTGCTTTATTAAACCACACTATATTACATTATACTATACTATATTAAAGAGATACTATACTACAAGGAACACTAAAGAAAACCTGTGACTGTCTCCAGACAGCCAGGACACAGCTTTGAGTGTTTGGCCAAGGAAACAAAACAATCCTCAGCAGAATCCAACTGACAAATCACTTCAGGTAAACAATCTTCCCAACACATTCTGCACGTGCAAAAACAACAGGAGAAGCAAGCAGAGATAAGAATTGTTTTCTCTTCTTCTCTCTGTGCTTCTCCAGGAAAAATCCTGTGTGAGAGAATAATGTCTCTCTCTCTCCCTGTTGAGAGAATGTGAATGGCACATCCCCCTGCCAGGGAGGGCCTTTCTGTTCCATAGAAAGAAGCAAGGCTGTCACTGCTGTCTGCTGTAGCTGACAGGAGCTCCAGGCGTGGCTGTCTGCTCTGTGCCAGGCTGTGGGGAGGGAGCAGGAGAAGGAGCAGGAGCACAGAGCTGCACTGCCTATCTGCCACCAGGACACAGAATGAGCACAGGAGAGGGAGCAGGAGCACAGCCTTCATGCACAGCCTTTCCAGCAGCAGCCTATCTGTCACCAGGACACAGAATGAACACAGGAGAAGGAGCAGGAGCACAGCCTTCTGTGCATTCATACACAGACTTTCCAGCAGCACCTGCACTGCCTCTCTGCCACCAGGACACAGCCAGGAGCACCGGGAAAGGCCTTGGATAACCAGGTTTGGGCTTCATTCATTCCTGTCACTGATGGCACCAAGGGAAATGAATTAAATCCCATTATTACCGGGTGGGTCGTGCCTGGGCTCTTCTGGCCCTTGCTGCTGGGCCAAAGGTGGCAGCTGTGGTGTTTCACCCCAGAAACACCTTTGGCTGGCTGGGTGTGTGGTGTTTCACCCCACAGACACCTTTGGCTGCCTGGGTGTGTGGTGTTTCACCCCACAGACACTTTTGGTTGGCTGGGTGTGTGGTGTTTCACCCCACAGACACTTTTGGTTGGCTGGATGCTGCAGCTAGGCACTGGAACAAGTCCAGGCTTGGTAGAAACTCAGTTTACCTCCGGTGGAAAGGCTGTAGGCGAGGTGAAGAGGAAAAAGAGACAGATTCTGCGGAGGGTTTAATCCAGACTTTTATTCCAGGGTCACAGATGGCTGAATCTTGGTAACAGCTCCACAGAATCCCGACTGCACGGTCTCAAGGTCCTTTAAAGCCCAAGGGCAGGGGGAGGGAAGGGATAGGTGAGCCACCAACCAGGTGTGAGGGGGGGAGTTTCAGGGGACAATGACATCTGGACAGACCAATGACCTCGGCGCTGAGGGGCATCTTTTGAACTTGGCCAATCAGACGATTCTTGTTGGCCCGCTGAGATTGATGGGCAGCTCTCATCAGGGGCAGGGAGAAGGCATTGCCACACCTAGGGGGCTGGGATAGGTGAAAGAGGATATTGCAACACACTGTAACAGGAAATTGTCTGGTTTGCCTTTCTAGATTGTGTTCCAGGACAAATACAGTCAGGGGAAAAAAATTGTAGTTCATTTCTGCTTTGATCACACTCAGTCAGAGAGGTGACAGTGGTAGCTGTGCCAGATGCTCCGAAAGGAATTGAGGTTGTAAACCACACTGGCCTTCAGGAGGGTTTAGACAGGTCTGGATCTTGGAGAATCATTTCCTTGGACTGGCATGGACTTTCAACAAAACGGATTGAACTGTCGTGCTAATGAACGTGCAGCTCAGTTTTGGGAATGTAAATCAGCTGGCAAAGCACCTGACAAATCAAGTGTCTTATCCTAACGTAATGGCTGACTAAATACACATTCCTGTGTTGGAGATTTACATAATCCTTCAGAGCACCCTGAGAGTACCAGAGCCTTGGTAGACAGAGGAAAACCTACGAAAGAGGATGGACAAGCTGCAGAGATTGGTAAAACATCTATTTTACTGTTCTTATTGACAGATATTTTTTTTAATTTGAATTTTTATAAGGCTGTGTAATACTGTCAGGTTTGCCTAGAATTAATTTTCCGGTTCATGCAGTCCTTGGGGTAAAGCTGCAGAGTAATGGCTCTCCTGGCAGCCGCACACCACCACGGGGGCTGGGAAAGCACTGCAGCACCAGGCTTGGGAATGTCCCTCTGTAAATGCAGCTCAGCTCTGGGCACAGAGATGGCCCCTGAAGGGAGAAGCAAACCCTTCTGCTTCAGCTCATGGGCGGTAAAGAGCTCTGTGACACACGGCTTGGTAGGGGATGTGTTTTATAATGAAAGCAGGGAAATGAGCAGGAGTGGTGTATTCCTAGACATTGTTAATGAAAAAGAAATGTGCTGTTGTAGGGAGAGGAAACTCGCCTGGAGAACGAGGATAATGAGGTTCCCAATCCTTAGCTCAGTTCTGAGTAACAGGACAGGGAGGTGGTGTAGCCATGAAAGTGCAAGTGAAAAGGATCTGCTGCTAGCTGGGGCTGGAGAGCTCAGCCTCCTCCTGCTGCAGGCTTGGAATAGTCTGGTTTTATTTCTGTCCTGGAGGACACCCTGTCTCGGGCTGGTATGGAAGGTATTTAAAGGAAAACACTTTGAGAAAAGGGAAAAATCCAAGATTATTTGAATTTGTGGTTTTAGAGATATTGTGAGACTACAGCAAAATTTCCTTTTCTCTGCTGGACAGCTCTGTAAGGAGAAAATGAGCAGGTAAAGCAGAAAGAGGTTCTCAGCTTTGGGTTATTTAAGTTCTCAGGGTGACTGGGGTCGTATTCATGTAGCAAAACACAGTCTGGCCTGAGGTGCCCTGCACTGGCTGGCAAACAGCCGAGCCTGAGCATGGGCTCTTTATGTGGCACCAGAGCTTTCCCAGTGGGAGGGGTTTTTAAGCAGGGGCTGGCAAAGGCCATCCTGGCCTCGGGCCACCCAGAACATTGGGCAGGAGGTGTCAGGCTAAAACCAGGGGCCCCCAAAATGCTCAGAGTGGTCTTGGGATGTGGAACAGAGCTCCCAGTCCCAGGACTCCCTCAGGGCACTGTCGCAGACATCTTCTGTGAAAATCCTTTTCTTGGGGTTTTCCTGCTGAGAAGCTGCAGCAACAAAGTGTAAGCAATGGTTATCTGCTGCTGTGGAAGGCATCAGGTGTGGCTGTGATGGGGCCATCTTGGATGTTTACAATTAATGGCCAACCACAGACCAGATAGCTTGGACTCTCTGTCTGAGCCACAGAATTTTGTTATAGATTCCATTCTATTCTTAGCCAGCCTTCTGAAAAGAAACCTTCCCTTCTATTTCTTTTTAGTATAGTTATAATGTAATATATATATATATCATAAAATAATAAACCAAGCCTTCTGAAATCTGGAGTCAGATCCTCATCTCTCCCCTCATCCTGAAAGCCCTGTGACCACTGGCACAGGGCACATCTTGCCTGTCACAGGATTTCACCTGCAGGTGGGGAAGCCAAAGGCACAGGCACAAAATAGTGGAAAGAAGCTGTGTGGTTCTGCTGTCAGCTGCAGAGCTGGGCCAGCCAGGACAGCTTGTTCTGCACCCTTCAAAAGTCAAGAGCCCTGACTTTTATAGCAGCACTGATCCTGTGGTGCCACACGAGGCAGCCCCTGCCCTGCTTCCCAAGGCTCAGCAGTGCTGTCCCTGGGCAATGTGAGCAGGAGTGTCCCCAAGGACACCTGAACCCACTGCCTGTCACACATTTCATCTGTCTCATAATGCTGAATGCACAATTACAGACTGCTAAACATTGCTCTGTACAAGTGCAGCATCACAGGAAAGACACTCTAATCTAAAATGTGTGTTATTATCATGAAAGGATGGAAATAACAGCACACCAAGGAGTGCCAAATGCATTGGCTATCCATGGCCATGGGAAAATCCCCCAGCTCAAAGCCTCAATGTCTTTTGAGTCAGTTTATTCTGTACAAGGAAGCCACCCACTGTCTGCCCCTTTTCTTCAGCTCCAGAACAAGATCCTGATCCTGACAATTTGTGCTGCTGGGATTGGAGGCACCTTCCAGTATGGGTACAACATCTCCATCATCAATGCCCCAGCCTCAGTAAGTACTGCAGCTCTGGGTGCCTGCCCTGACAGCCCCTGGCGGCAGTGGGTGCCCCTGGAAATCTGTAGGCTGCTGCTGAGGGACAGAAAGCAGGGATGTGTGGTTCTCTCTGTGTAATTCACATCCAGAGCACAGGACTTGGCTGTCAAAAGCCACCCTTGAGCAGGATCTAGTGTCACAAGTTTATTCAAAAGCTTTGTTTCAACTGCTTTAGCAAAATCAAATTCTAGAATTTTTCAACCTGCATCCTTTGAAGTTGGTTTTTGCCTTTAGATTGAAAGTGAGACCCATGAAATGAATTTTTAAATTATCAAAAATAACCACATAGAGATATAAACCAACTGCAACTTTTCAACAGCAACAGTTTTACACCCTAAATTCTGTATTAAAAACACATCTAAGAGCTGGAGGAGATTGGAAGCATAAACACAGGATAAATAGATTTATTAATAAGAGAGCATTTCTCTGTGTCCTTCCCCTCTCTCAGTACATCCAGGTGTTCATGAACACGACCTGGCTGGAGCGCATGGGGGTTCCCCTGGAGAGCAACACGGTGCTGCTGCTCTGGTCCTTCACTGTCTCTGCCTACCCTCTGGGAGGCCTCATTGGGGCTGTGGCTGCTGGCCCCATGGCCATCATGCTGGGCAGGTAAGAGGTGCTGCAGTTTAATTTAAGCTTTGCAGCTTCCCTTAGTCCAAGAGGAGTTAGGATCCCTACAGCAAAACACCCACTGTGGTTAAAAATAATATCTCAAATATCTGAATATCTCAAAACTCAGTGGGGAACTGTTTTTTCCCCACATTATCTTCTCATCATTCCAGCCCAGCTGAGGGGCTACAAGGATTTCAGCTCAGCTCCTTACCACAGTACCCACTCACATAATCTCTATCATTTTTGTGCCCAGTTCTCTGCCATGCTTTTAAATGGGAAATCATAATGGATGATATAATAATGATGTTATATCATAATGGATGATACCATAATGATATCATGTCATAATGGATGGTATCATAATGAATATCACAATGATAATGGATCAGACTAAGGATTTGTCTTCAAAATAAACTGTGGGGATGACACTAGAAAAGCAGAGGGTGCTTGCAAAGAGCAGTGATTGCATCCCAGCTCCTCATGTCTCACAGGTTGTGTAGCCACATTTTGGTCTGAAATATTTCAGGAAGTATTCATTAAATCTCCACAGTGGGACTTTTTTACTCTGTGCTTGAGTCTCTGAAAAGTATCTGTCTTACCTCATGCATCTTTCATACACAGCTCTATCCCCAGATCTCTTCAGAAAAAAAAAAACAAACAAAACCAAACCAACCAGTGTTACCTACATAAATTACATAAATTAATAGGAAATTAGATTTTGCCTCCCTGTCTCTTGACCCCAAGATTTTCCTTTATCTGCTATCACTTTGGTTTGCTCCTCTTGTATGATGAAGGAGAGCCCATTATGGTTTGAGGTCCCATGACTTACTAATTTCATGGTTATGAAGACCTGGAAGGATATGGCTTCCTTAATCCATTCCATTTTTGAGATTTCACCCTGTATACTACTTTGGAATAAAATCATATTCCATCATAAATAAGAGAAACAACGACTGGTAAAGCAGTGAGCAGGGACTAGAGAGAATTTCTGGCAATAATAACAGTAAGGGTCAATAGAGTTCTCTTTTTTCCCCTGGTTTTCAGCAGAAATTTCTCCTGGGACACATGAAAACTTTCTGTCAAAGTTTCACAACAATTACAGTATTACATGAAAAATGCCTGTTTTAACAAATTAGCACTTGCAGACCAAAACGCTCATGGCTTGCTGAGGGAATATTGCTCTCCATTCAAATGGGAATTTTGTGTGAGCACTCAGCCCTGGGGCTGGGGGAGAACCTGGTGGTGGCCTCAGAGAGCCTGAAGGGACACCCTGAGGTGGCACAGGGACACCTCCTGCAGGGCTGGGTTCACCAGGAGGTTCTGTGGGGGCTCCAGCCCCTCTGCAGCTGCCACAGGAAGGGATGTCACTGTAGGACACAAAATTACACAATGCACACACTGCTGTTTCAAGGTGGAAAAGGAAGTTTATTATCTGACTCTAACATTTATAGATTTCCAAAAGTGGCAGTGGATTGGAGGGTGACAGTGCCACCTCTCCAATGACACTGGACAAACCAACAGTCTATCAAATTTCTCCTCTTCCATAAAAGAATGCAAAACAATAACTTATTTACATAAAGTGCATGAGAAAATTTGTTACAAGAATGTAAACATCAGAAGATTTAGAAAATCTTCAAAAATCAGGGTGACAAAGGGGTTTATGCCAGAGCTGATGTGCCACACATGTGCTCACAACTGTGTTTTCTCTTGGAAGGAAGATGTCCCTGCTGCTGAACAATGGCTTTGTGATCATAGCTGCAGCCTTGTCTGGGTGCAGCAGGATGGCCAAGTCCTTTGAAATGATCATGCTCAGCAGATTTCTTACTGGTGTGAATGCAGGTATGGCAACAGGAGAAATATAGAAGGATGAAGGTGGTAACAATCAGAAGATATTTAAGTAGGAATGATCCAGGATGTTAAAGCAATTAATCCTTTAGGCTGACCAGAAATATGTAAGTGAATTAAGAAGTTGTATATACAGATTTTATACTTTGCTTCTAAGGGCTTTGTCTTAAAGCATACACAGGCAAGGAGGTTTGGGTACCACATGTAAGCATCTCTGTGCATGGGGAAAATTTGAGCTGAAAATGGATCCCTATCTGCTTGTAAGAATGTCAGCCACTCACCAGCATGAGCACCACCACAAAAGCTTTTGTAGAAAAATCTGGAAATTTTCAGTATAAGGGAATGATCAATATAAGGGACTTAAAATATGATATTCCCCTCAAAAGGGGGAGGTCAGGGGAAACATTGCATATAACCTTGGATTTGGTGCTGAAAAGACCACAGGGCTGAGACCCTGACAGGTTTCAGGTTCATTATGCACTGCTACTGATGAACATTGAAATGTTTAGTTACACAAGGACAGGGGTGAAATTGAAGGTTTGGGTGGAATAAGAAGCTCAGGTAGATTATTTATCACAAGGCCTGCAACAGAAGAGTGCAGCTGGCAGCCTCCAGAGGTGCTGCCTGCATTTATTCTTGTGTCCTCTGCCCACAAGCTGAGGTCAGCATTTGTCTGCCTTGCCCAGGTGTGAGCATGAACATTCAGCCCATGTACCTGGCAGAGAGTGCCCCAAAGAAGCTCAGAGGAGCTGTGGCCTTGACCTCTGCATCATTTACAGCCCTGGGGCTGGTGCTGGGGCAGGTTGTTGGGCTCAGGTAAGGTAAAGCAAGCAGCCCACTCTTTCCTTCCTCTCCTTCCTTCCCTTCCTTACCTCCCTCCCTATTTGCCAGGTTGTAAAAATCCTGTGTAAATTGTGTTTGTTTGTTTTTCTCCAGGGAGCTCCTGGGAGGGGAGGAGAGCTGGCCATTCCTTTTAGCAAGCAATGTGGTTCCTGCCCTGATCCAGCTCACAGCTCTGCCTTGGTTCCCTGAAAGTCCCAGATATCTCCTGATCGACCGTGGAGACAAAGAATCCTGCATCTCTGGTGAGTTTAGGGTGACTATTAGCTCATGTGAGACTTGGGCCCCGACATTTTTGGAATGGTGCCACAAATTTTACATGTAGGAAGATTCATATCAAGTAGTAAATATGATCACTTCCTCCTTTCAAACTAAAGAACATTCTATAATCTTAAAATTATTTGATCTACTGAGGGAATTGAAAGGCATCTTCCTACAACAGGCTTATTTGCTACAGTAATAGGGTCAAAAGGTAAGACTTGTGTTCACAATGGCAAATGTTTTGTAACTATGAAGTGAAATAAATGCTGGTTGAAGAGCTCAGGATCAAATCTAAAGCCAATTCATATTAAAGGATTTAGTTAGATTTGTGGCATACAAATCCTCATATGCAGAGTGGCTGGAGTTATTTCGTGGGAAATATGTGCTGTGTACCAAGAACATCTTAATTGCCTGCATTCCCCAGGGAGGGCACTTGAGATCTGAGTCAGAAGCATGGCTGCTAAAATGGCACTGATTTCAGTTGGGAAATATTCACTTGTCAAACAGTGGTGTGGGATTTGCACTCCCTTTCCCCCAAATCTTTCAAGGGGCTGCAACAGAGCTGATAAACTCTGTGAAGGTCACAGCATGATCACAGGCTTGTGGCAGACATCTTTTATGAAAAATCCTTTCCTTAGGATTTTTCTTCCTGAGAAGCCTCAAGAACAAAATGCAAACATTGATTATCTGCTGCTGTGGAATGCAACAGGTGCATCTGTGATTGGTCTCTGTGGTTGTTTCTAATTAATGGCCAATCACAGTCAGCTGGCTCAGACAGAGAGCTGAGACAGAGCCTTTGTTATCATTGCTGCTGATTCTATTCTTAGCCAGCCTTCTGATAAAATCCTTTCTTCTATTCTTTTAGTATAGTTTAAATGTAATATATATATATAATAAAATAATAAATCAAGCATTCTGAAACATGGAGTCAGATCCTCATCTCTTCCCTCAACCTGAGACCCCTGTGAGCACGGTCACACAGGCTCTGTCCTGCAGCTTTCTGCAGCCATCACCTGCTGCTCCATCCCTCACCCTGCAGAGCAGCCAAATGAAGAAAAAACCCAGGGCTAAGAGTTTCCCTTGTCCTTGCAGCCCTGCAGAAGCTCAGAGGCACCAATGACCTGAGTGCAGAGCTGGAGGAGATGCTGGCAGAGCAGGCTGCAGTGAAAGGCCAGAGAGCAAAGAACCCCTGGGAGCTGTTCCAGAACCCAGGGCAGCGCTGGCAGCTGGTGAGCATCGTGGTGCTGAGCAGCGCCATGCAGCTCTGCGGCAACGACTCGGTGAGCAGCCTGGGGGGGCTGGGGGCTCTGGGGCTCAACATTCTGGCAGCAGGAGAGGAGTGAATGGTGTCTCTCTGCCTGTGGAGATCTTCACATGTCAGGTGTTGTAGGAGCATCGGGGGTGGGACGGTGGGGACAGACAGAGAGCAGAGATCTCTGGGGCCAGGACAGGAACTTGGGGTTCATTGCAAAGGGCCTGGGTGCAGGGCCCTGCTGGGAGCTGCCAAACACAGCTGGAGCAGGGCTGAGAGAAGAGAGGGGGAGAGAGGATGGGAGGGTGAGAGAGTGAGGAAGTAAAACAGATAAGAGAGTAAAAGGGGTAAGAGGGCTAAGTTCTCGTTACAATACAATAAATCATCTTTTGTGTTGAATATTCCCATTCTCACTAACCTATCTAGTACAAGATACAAATCCTATAGCATTTACATACAGCCTATAAGAATCATTACATTCCCATACTGTGTTACATTTTAAACCCTAAAAACTCCTCTTTGGGCCCCTTCTGCCAAGCTGTAGGGTCTGCTCTGGCCCTTGGAGCTGTCTGCAAGCAGAGGGTGTTGTTCCATCAAAAGGGGATCACCTTCAGCTGGCCATGCCACTGTTTTCCAGTTGTTCAGTAACTGAGGGATCTCAAAGCTTGCTCTCATTTCAATCTCACTTATAGTTTCTATATTCTCAAAATCTTGTGCCAGACAATCATATTTATAAGGCTTTCCTGTTTCACCTTCCCCAACAAGGTGTTTGGTTCCCAAAATACACATGTGCATTATGGGAGGATTCAAAAGGATGCTGTCAAAATAGACTCTCTGGTCATTCTGCATGACCCTTCAGGAAAAACAATGGGATGTATTTTCAGATGTCTTCCCTTACTGCTGTCTCCTTTCTTCTCTTCACAGATGTATTTTTATGCAGCCTATGTGTTCCAAGAGGCTGGAATTCCTGAGGACAAAATCCCCTATGTTGTAATCGGCACGGGAAGCTGTGAGCTGATCACATCTGTCACTTGTGTGAGACTCTCGGTGCACTCTGCTGACTGCAGCCTCTGCTGGCAGGGAGGAGGCTGTTAATTCCAAACTTGGGGTTTGCATTTCTTTTCATGCCAAGGAAGCCCTTTAGGCACAGGAGCCAGGCTGTCTGTCAGCACCCCCAGCCAGAGGGGTTAATGCAGAGCTGTTTGCTCAGACATTGCACTGCCATCACTGTCTGAAATCTCTAACAAGTGTAGTTCTCTTGCTTTGTGTTCATATGGATGGTGGCAGAGTTTAGGTACAGCTGGGACATTCTTATCTCCCTTGATCACCCTTCTTGCCTGACTCCTGCCACCAGAACTTTCTTTTGAGTTTTTTTTTTTTTTTGCTATGAAGCAGAAAACATCCTGAAAGTTACTGTAGAGCAAACTAGGCATGGAGTATTGAAAGGTGAAGAGAAAAGAGGCAGGAAATATAAAGCCAGGTTAAATATCTTGCTTTATTTGCCTGTGTCACTGTGTGCAGAGCATGATCATAGACTATGCTGGTCGGAGGCCGCTGCTGCTGGGGGGATACATCTTCATGGCAGCCTGGGCCATCGTCTTCATGGTCGCCCTGAGCCAGCAGGTAACAAACTTTCCTCACTTATTGAAGTGGAATGGAGTTGGGCTTTGCCTTTTGTATGACTGGGGTGTTCAGTGGTGGCAGATGAGTGCCCTCACTGGTTTTCCATTGGTCTCTGTGGCTGTAGACTCAGATTAGCTGGATGCCTTATCTCAGCATGGCCTGCATTTTCGCCTATATCCTGAGCTTTGGAATCGGACCAGGTCAGTTCCCTCAGTGTTTTCAGTGAAACTTTTGGGGTTTGGAGATGTGTGCAGGCATCTTATGGAAACTCTCAGGCCCTCTTTAGCTGCAGCATACTCCAAGCATACTCCAACAGATGCTGTCTGGCTGTGTCACAGGGTTTGGTGCCCCTGGTCAGTCAGTGCTGTGCAGGGCCAGGCTGTGCCCATTTCTCTCTCTCTGTCATATTCCCCCTTAGTCATCCTGGCTATTAGGCTAATGCACTTGGAAGTGATTCTTGGCTTAAATAGATGGCAAGCTTTTGATTTGCTGCCCAGTCCATTAGGTCTGTAAACCAGAATTTCTAATGCTTCACTTTAATCCCAGAAATTGTTGGCTATGCCATCTGAGTATTTTCTTGCAGATACAATTTCCACATCTATCTGTGAGCCTACTAATGTGCCCTTCTGTGGCAGAATACACCAGTTTCTGGGGGTGGGCAATACACAGGATGTTGTGGATGTTTGCATGGTGAATATAGAGATGTGAGACTGTTTGCTCACATGAGTTTGAAGGAAGGCAGGCAAGAATAGAACCAAGCTGCCAGTGTCACATGCCACACAAGTTGGCAATAATTTCTTGTCCCAGTCCCTACAGTGCCATGGAGTTGAATTAATTATAAGCCTTTCTCACCGTTGGGTCCTGGTAAGAATAATGTGGATTACAAAATCTTTCCTGGCAGCTCATTCTAACATGAGAAAGCCTGAATAATTACCCAGTCCCTTAATATTTAACCTAAAAATTCACCTCTCACACTTCATGTTGCGTTTTCGTGTTAAGATGTGCTCTCTTGTTTTTAATGCAATGTTAACAACACGATTAACTTTCCTGCCATTTCTTTTTCCAGCTGGTGTAACAGGAGTTCTGCCCACAGAGGTTTTTGATCAAATGTCCCGACCAGCTGCTTACATGATCTGTGGCTCCCTGCTCTGGTTCAACCTGTTTGTGGTGGGAACAGCCTTTCCCTTCATTGTGGTGCGTTCCCAAAGCCAAGCAGCTCTGAGTGCCCTGGGCAGGAGAGGGGCTCTGGTAGGGACAGGGAAAGAGAATATTGCAAGCACCAAGATAGCACTTCTTTGGAAAGTATCTTTATGAGGAGAGTGGCCAGAACTCCTTTAAACCAAACTTTCTCCGTGTTCCCTGTGGTGATTTCTGATTTGAGGTTGGGAGTGGAATCCTTTGGGGGATGGATGATCAATATTCCTCATCTGTCCTCAGTTGAGAACAGCTGGAACAGAACATGTGATGTAATTTCCCTTTGCCAGACCCTGGCTGTATTCCTTAAGGTGATTCCTGAAGCAAGAGGGAGCAAAACTCCACAGTATTCCTGTCTTATTTCCTCCTGAGGGCTCCTGTGATATAAAATTATATAGAGAGAGAAAGACAGAAAAAGGCATTTTAAAATACTGTTCTTGCTAAGTCAAATTTCCCAGTCTATGCTGGGGAGCTGTTGCATCCTGGCATGTGAGGCTCTCACCAGGATTCACAGAAATACTCCCTGGGTGACTTTAGACCAGGCAGGAAGAGGGATTAGTGGCCTTTCTGTCACCATACAGAATGTCACCAACACTGTCTTGTTTTTTCCTCCTCCTCAGAAAAGTCTAGCACATTTCTGCTACATCCCATTCCTTGTGGTTTGTGTCTGCACTGCCCTCTACGTTTGGTTTTTCCTTCCTGAGACAAAGGGAAAATCCTTCCTGGAAATCTCGGAGGAGTTTGGGAAAAGGAACTTCAAAACTAAGACCCGTGGAGGTTTCTATAAAGGCCCTGAAGAGATCAAAACCACCTCATTGTAGCAGAAGAATGGAAGATGCTATCTGGGGGAATTCTGCAATGAATTCAGCAGTGGCTCTGTGCCCTTGCAGGGACACAAAGAGAGAAGTTAGAGACAATCTATTACTCTTAGGTTCTTAAGTTCATATTGAAAACATACACTTGAACCTATAAATCCAAGCAAAAGTTCAATAATCTGTTCTCAGCTTTTAGTAGTAACACATGCATATTTTAGAATCCTTATCAGAATGACAGAATGATGCCTTACTCTCTTATCATCATACCACACCATGTAATGCTTTAGAAAACTTATTCAGAATTTCTTCAACAGTAACTTCATCTCAGAAGTCCTTCTTTCCTTGCCCCTGAATCTGGGCTTTCTAACACAGAAATTAATGCGATTAAATTCTGGTTTCAGACACCAGATGAAATTTTCAGTACCTTGTCTTGGTGCTCCCGTTGTTTCTGTTATTAAGTGATTTCAAATTGATCCCTACTTGTTAAGCAATAGTGAGCAGTTAATTATTTTCAGCTATAAAAACATGTGACAGATGGATTAGAAAGAAAGCTTCTAGTACTTGCTAAGTGGCTTATTATACAACAGACTTTTGGGCATTGTTTTGCAGACTATTTATTCTGGACTGGTTTTCTTCATGGCTTGTTTGCTGTCTTCCAGTCCTATGTTGTAAAGGACAAGTAGTTCTCTAATTTGTTCTGCTCCCATGGACACTGCTGGTGCATCTTGTAGGGTTCTGCACCTGTGCTGATGTTAAGCATGGTGAGAGCATGGCTTGTTTTGGGTGTGCATCTGCAGGTCACACCCCAGTGTTCTCTGCAGATCTCTCCATAGAGCTCATTGGCAAAGACCCAGATGTGAGATTGATTCTTTCCAGTTAACCTGACACAGAACAGGGCAACACTCCTCACTGAACCTGGCTTTGCACAGGCACTGGCCTGACTGTTAAGTTTCTCCCAGTTTCTTCTCAAAGTCATAACCAAGCCACCTCTTTTCTTTTGCCTTTGTATGAAAGGCACAGTGCTGCTATGTTTACAATGAAGAAGAATACCTTTGCAAAATAAGTAGGTAAAGTTTCTTTCAGTGTATTTTTGAACTATATTTTAAAGAAAAATGCAGCATTTTTGAATTAAAAGAATGTAAACGTTTCTGGAGTGTATTACTGTCATGCTGGGCATGAGTGGAGCAGCAGATATATTTCTCAGAAGAGGAATCTGTGCAAGAACTCTTTTGTGGTGGTGTTCACAGGGGTCCCAGGATGAGGGAAGAGATGAGAATCTTGACTCCATGTTTCAGAAGGCTGATTTATTATTTTATGATATATATTGTATTAAAAGAAAATGATATATTAAAGCTATACTAAAAGAAGAGAAGAAAGGATTTCATCAGAAGGATCAAAAGGAATGGAATGATAATAAAATCTTGTGACTGACCAGAGAGTCTGAGACAGCTGGAGTGTGATTGGCCATTAATTAAAAACAATCACATGAGACCAATCAAAGATTCACCTGTTGCATTCCACAGCAGCAGATAATTATTGTTTACATTTCATTTCTGAGGCCTCTCAGCTTCTCAGGAGAAAAGATCCTAGCAAAAGGATTTTTCATAAAATACGTCCGTGATACTCTTTCACTACCCAAATTTTATAATGTATGAAAAAAAAAAAGAAACATTTTTTCCTTTGTGGTTGTTGCTATTTTAGAAGTCATTAATATCTAGACATGAGCAAGAGCAGCTACCTCTGCTCTTGGAAAACACTGAGATTTTGAAGTATGCAGGATTTTAAGACGAGACAATCAAGAGCAGGACTCCGTAGAATTGGGAACTGGAGAGATACTTTCCATTACTATAGTTTGGAGAGAGCAGGGAGGAGCAGAGGGAAAGAATGAAACACAGAATAAAAGCAAAAAGTGCCACTACCATCGTGATGGTGGCAAAATATTCTGTAATTCCTTTGGTGAGGACCAGAGGAAGGAAAGAGGGAAGTGGATCGGGGGGAGCTGCAGGGTAGGAAGCAGGGATGGACTGAGGAGATTGCCTGGGCTGAGGGAGAGGAGCATAAAGGTCAGAGAAAAGAGAAGTCCTCCAGTGTCCAGAGGTGCTCACCTTGGCCACTGCTGTGGCTACTCCCATGAGTCAGGACTGAGCATTTTCCCAGAGCCCTGCAAGGACAGAGGCCATCTGCTCCTGGCTGTACGAAACAGGCTTGGTCAGAAATGATACACATTTACACATTTACACATTTGCTCGCTTCCTGACTTTTAGAGCCAGTCCTGTGAGTACATGTAGCAGAAAACATGAATTCCAACTTTCAGCATTTTTTTTCTGTCTGTGGCCTGAAATCAGGGGTCTATAAACTGATTAAGCAAACACAAACAGTGGTTGCATTTCAGTTGGTCTAAGTTGTTAAATTTTAATTGAAGTATTTAACAAGTTGGTTAATTGATACTGAATTAAAACACTTTCAACTGAGAAATCTATGACACTTGTTCACATTTTCTTATATAAAGTGTTAGGCAAAACCACATCTTGAAAAGTGATCCTCAGAGACTCACAGCTGATATTACTGTTTGCAAATCAAATAATTGTGCTCTGTTGGATTAATTAATAACCATCAACACTAGGGAATACTAGTACTGCTGCTGTCCTCAAACACTGCTCCTCTGCACAAGCCAGCTCTCACTTGCACCCAGCTGGGGTTGGGGTTCTTCCAAGGACACACAACATCCCAGCCTGGGGAACCACCAAGGGCAGCCACTCGCCAGGAGAGGGAATTCCCCCCTAAGCTGTTTGAATAACGTGTAAAAGCCTTTTAACAGAACCATCTTGGACACTGCCCTTCAAAAATTATGGCTAAAATGAAAGGTTTTACAGTCAGGATTTCAAACTGACATTAAACCTTCCCAGCATCTGCCATATATTATAGGGATACAGACTTGAACTTTCAGCCACTGACCATTACTCTTGAAGAGTCAATTATCAGTCAGCTGATAACTCAACAGCTGGATGCACAGGCCAAGGAGGGCTTCAAAAGGCTTTTCTGGGTTGAGGCTCAAGGTAGCAGACAGGAACTTTTGGAACTTTTCCTGTGGATGTGATCACTGATTACCCAGACTAACACTTGAGGAGTCCAAGGCAGCCCACTCCAGTTTGCACCAGTCCTTGGACTTTGGCTTCCATCAGTGCTTTCCTCCTTGTCCTTTACTCATCTCCCACAGCTCCTCCTGTCCCCAGCTCCTGCCAGAGCACGCCCAGAGCCCTGACAGGAGCACACAGCTCCCCAGCTGCATCAGTAACCAACACAACAACCACACAGCAAGAACTTCAGAAAAACCAAAGGGAGCGTTAACACTGTGAAAGAACAAAATTGTTGCACTAAGGTAGAAAAATCATAGAGAAAGGCTTCATAAAATCAAGTCTGCTCTCCTGGAATCAGTGGCTGGCCTTGTCAAAGCCAGCATTTTGCAAGTTCCCATGTGAAAGCAGTCCAGGTGTGAGCAATTTGTTAACATAACAATCTTTTCCTGCATAAACTGTTTTTGCACTGTTAGATAGAAAAATGAAAACTGTGTTTCACAAACAACTCTCCCTGCAGGTAGACACTGAGAGTTTAAGTGACCAATCAATAGAGAATAACAACTTGTTACTAACCAAAAAAGTAATTAGCAAGAAAACTATTAACTAATTGGAGTATCACATGAGGTCTGTAAAACTGTATAAAAAAGGAGTTATGTGAATAAAGAATGGCCTTTTTCCACCATGAATAAAGTGGAGTCCTGTGTGATTTATTCCCATACAAAGTGATGTGTTGAAATATAATCTCAGGCTCCTCTTTCTCCATATAAAAATGAACTTTTTCCACAGTAGCCAATGAAAGCATCAGGAAAGACCTAGACTGCACGTGGGTGTGACTACCTTTGCATGCAAGTTGGTGTGGAGAGGTTTGATGCCCATTCAAGCAATGACATTCCCCTGATTAGAAACTGGCTTGGAAGAGCTTGGCAGCCATTGTTTGAACATGAAATATTCCAGGTAAAGAGGAGCAGCATCACTCTCCTGTTGCTGGCAGGAATATCCCCAGTAAGAGGGAGCAGTGGCAGTGGGAGGGGTTGAGGTGCATCTATTGCAGTCCTAAATTCTTACACCTCCTATCAGAGAGTTCTAAGAAAAGGTGAATAAACTATGAAAGTTTCAATCCCCACATGTTTATCTAGTCTCAGCCAAGTCACTGAGCAAAATATTCATTTAGGTGAGATAACAAGTAGGAAAGGAGGAGGAGAAAGGACAAATAGATGGAATTGTTCACAAAAAGCTTTTGCACATTGCACTATGCTCCCACAAGTATGACAGTGCAGATTAAGATGGCAAAGCTGAAGGCTGGAGCACTGAAGTGTGTAACTGGATTCTGGGAGGCATCTGTGAGCTTTGCCTCTGCTCAGCATTCTCACTGCCCTGTGCCTCAGTAGCTGTGCTTTCCTATTGCTCCTGGTCTCAGAGGAGGCAGGTGTGTGGCATTGCTCACATTGTTAGGGCTCCCAAGGAAAATACAGCACATTTGGAGGCATGTCTGGATAGCTGTACCTGTTTGTTCGCTGGCTTTATTTCCTGCAAGAAAATGAGCTACAACCTTTTTCTCCTGGCTTTTGTCCTGGGCATGACTGGAACCTTCCACTATGGATTGCAGGTCTCCATTATCAATTCTCCTGCTGAGGTAAGCATGGAGAGCTCAAAGAGTGAGCTACCAGGGTTTCACTGTTCTCAGGCATCCATGCCTCTATTTGCAGTGGCTAACTTGTTACTTGTGCTTTCAAAATTAGAAAGAATCGTGGTTTCTTAGTTCTAATAGTAGCTGCTACTGCTCTTGTGTTTCATGAGGTTTGCACTTCTGTCTCATGTGACAGAACTGGTAAAGGAAAGGGTGAATAATATCCACAAAGTCAGCTATTTTCCCCCTGCTGAGTGGAATTGCTCCCAGGGCATTCTCCTCTCTCCATCCCTCAGGGAGTCCCTTGTACCATGTGCTTGACCACCCACACTATTTCCAAGTGGCTGTAAGGTGAAATAGGGCAGGGAAGAACTGTAGCTCTAGAGCTGAGGTCAGCTCTACCTGCAGCTGGAAAAGGGAAATTGGGGATGGTGTTTGTCATCCTGGGTGGTACCAGGGACACTGAGCTCATACTATCACCACAGACAGGTGGTGACAGCAAAAGATCAGGGAGAGAAAGAATCTTAGTTTAGCACAGAAAAAGAAGACCAGCCTACCATTCCCTTACTGGAACTCACAATTGATATTTAATACTGATATT